CCAGGACGAGCCAGGGCGCAGAGTGACGCAGCCGCAGGGTGGCTTGGCGCACTGTTGATTCCAGTCACGCGGGACAGAGCAGCCCGGGTAGACACGGAGATAGGCAGGGAGCGGCTCCTTGGGTGGGTGCCTCCAGTGTGGTGGGAAGGTGCAGGGCCAGCAGTCGTGCCCTGCTGGGTGTGTCTGGTGTGCCCGGTGTTCTGGACATGGGCTCTGGAGACGCACAGTGGGTAGCAATTGCGCAGCTGTGAATCAGGCGCTGGCAGATCAGTGAGGTGCAGGCCAGCGAACCGCCCGGCAGGGCCTGGACACACACTGGCTGGGGGCGCATGCGGAGATCGCCCCGCCTTTGAGAAGCTCCCTTCTGCTGCTCCGGCTTCCGCTGCTGCCCTTACCTGTGAGCCTCAGCCTCCAGCTTCACTGCGGACTCGCACCCGCGACTGTCGGGGGGTTTCCGGGGGCCCTTCAGCTTCCTGCTGTGCTGCACCCTCCGTCCCTAGTTCCTCTTCTTCCAGCTTCCCGGGCTGAGCAGCTGCTGGGCCCTCACTCTCCTTTGTGCAGAGGCTGCTGTGGGCTCTGCATCCTCTGACCCTGGAGAGGGACCTAAGGGGAGGGGGGAGAGACAGACAGAGAGAGAGAGAGAGAGAGAGAGAGAGAGAGAGAGAGAGAGAGAGAGACAGATGGAGGGGGAGGAGGAGGAGGAGGGGGAGGAGGAAGATGAGGAGGAGGAGGAAGGAAGGAAAGAAGGAAGGAAGCAGAAATAAAGAAAGAAAGAAAGAAAGAAAGAAAGAAAGAAAGAAAGAAAGAAAGAAAGAAAGGAAAAGAGAAGAGAAAGAGAGAAAAGAATCCTCTTCAGAATCCTAAACAGCAGACAGGTATGAGCTGTTGTAAACTGTGATGCTGGTAATCACAAGTCCAAAGGCCCCGCAGCCTGAGGAGGCCAGGGCATGAATCTGAGCAGTGAAAGGCAGACTGTGCTGCCCCTGGGATGGTAGGTGGTGGGAGAAGTCTGCGTCTCAACTGTGGGACCAGAGAGAGAGAGAGAGAGACAGAGAGAGAGACAGATACAGAGAGAGAGAGAGAGAGAGAGAGAGAGAGAGAGAGAGAGAGAGAGAGACAGAGAGAGTCAGAGATACAGAGAGAGAGACACACACACATACAGAGAGACAGAGACACCTTAGAGCGGCTTTTTTGTTCTGAAAAAGTTGAGCCCCCACGAGCCCGAAGGGGATCCTGCTGGGCTGCAGACTCCCCAGGAGAGGAAGAGCTCAGAGAGCCTGGTTGCTGCTTCCAGACGTAATCCCCTTCTTTCCACCCTCCCTCCCTACAGGCCAAAGATGTCACCGTGAGGGGTGAGGACGGGAGGAAACCAGGCATGCTTATGACTTTTGGTGAATACACTGGGGTAATTATTGGTGTTTATCATAAATTATGCACATTATACAACCCTTTTTCTCATGAAAAGGTGAGTGAAGGGTGCTTTGGGAGGTTCAAAACACATTCTAAGTGTTTCCATTATTGATTTTGGAAAAAAGAGTCTTGACTTACAACCAACTTGAGTTACAACCAAATTGAACAAATTGAGTTCATAAGTCAAGGGTCCACTGTTTTAAACATCACACTTGATTGTTAAAACACATATTGTTTGGCTTATTAAGTTTATTGTACACTTTAGATATACATAATAATCACACTCATCATGGAGAATTTCTCCCTGTGCAGATATATCTATATTCCTCCTCTTTTCCCATTCTCCTCCCTCTGACACCTCTTACAGGCTTTTCAACCTTTATTAACAGAGCAGTTATGGTTGATCTGAATTTTTACTTTTATTTAAAAGCCTTTTTTCAAATATTTGCTTCTTTGCTTTCCCCTTTTGTAATATGGTTTTGCCTTCATGTCTTGTGTTACTATCTTTCTTTACATTCTTTTATCTCAGTTTCTCACTCTTGCCTTTTAATTCAGAAAACCTCTGAAATTGTCAGCCTGGTTGTACTATTAAGTTTCATTTTCTTGGGACTTCCAGGAAGATGGTGTGATAGTAAGTTTTATATTCTTTGCTTATAATGTCAAAAAAAAAAAGACTGTTGTTGAAGAAGTTGACAACGCTCTACTTTCTTTCACCTCTTCTTCTGCCCATCTTTTGTTTTCAGGATGTCTTCATCATGCGGTTAATCAGTATAGGGGCATGAGAGACTAAGTCTCCATGCTGGTCAGGTTCTCTAGAGAAACAGATTCAGAAAAAGCATGCATCTGATTGTACGTGGGATTCATCAGGCAGCCGCAACAGGGTGAGAAGCAGAAGGTCCCTTCGCCCTCTGCAGCATCGGGATGGCAGAGCTGACAGTGATGCTCTGGTGCTGCAGACCACCAGATCCGGAGCATTCAGGGTCGCAGACTGAGAAGCTCACTGCAGAGACACCCGTGGGCATCGCTGCGAAGCTGCAGAGTCTGCACTAGAAGCTGACAGAACTGGAGACTCCAGGACAGTGGCAGTCACCAGAGATGCCAGAGAAAGGGAAGCACTTTTTCTTTCCCTTTTTATTCTGACCAGGGTACACGACTATTGGTTAGAGCCTCTCACCGGCAGGCTGGCTCTTCCCCTGCCATTTGCTGGTCCTCTTGTCAATCATCCACAGATATCATAACTCAGTGATCCGCTAGGTGGATCTCATCTTGCTCAAGATAACACAAGCACAGTCAGTGTTCTTCACTCCACAACCCCTACTCTTGTGTGCATTTGTGAACACACACTCTGGTGTGGGTGAGAACACAGACACTCTGACCTCTGTCTGGAAGAAGTCTGAGGATGGACTAACTCTGTTCCTTCATCGTACTTTGGGAAAAAAAAATCATGCATTTAAATATGTATGATTTTTTTTTCTCTTTCCTTTTTTGGTGTCAGGATTGGAACTCGGGGCCTTGAGCTTGCCAAGCGGGCACTGCACCAATGAGCTGCATCACCAGCTCATAAAATTTTCTGCAATGCTCTGAGTGGTATTTTTTGGTGTGTGTGTGTGTGTGTGTGTGAGTGTGTGTGTGTGTGTGTGTGTGTGTGTGTGTGGCAGGAATCGAACTCAGGGTCTCAATCTTGCCAATATATGGATTTTTTAAGCTTTAATATTGCATAGCTTCAGCAGAACATAAATGTATATTGGGTCCAGAACTTGTTTTGCAATTTGTAATTAGTGTTCAGTGTACAGGGTGCACATCAATTCTGTACAGAGGGATTCGTTAATTTAATAACCAGTTTACATTTTTTACAGGCTGGTATATAGACAGTTGGGTCACACCTGTGGCGTCTGCTTCAGGGACATCAATCATTTGATTCTTTCTCCTTTTCTGCCTTCTTACGACTTTAATTTTAATTGTACTCCCCTATTCTTATGCTTTTACCCTCTGCATGAATTTCAGCCCATATGTAATTACAGTGTAATCTCTTTAGGAACCAGCACCAAGGGATTATGTTGAATTATGTGACAACTGATACCAAGGGTATGAGAGATGTCCACAGGTGACAGGTGATTTCTTCATACAGGGAAAACTACATTTATCTTTATTTTATGACTTATGTGCCAGTGATCATTCAACTTCATGTTTTAATTTCTCTCCTTTAGCCAATTATATAAGTGCATCTGTTCATTAGATTTAGTCAGACACGTTCTTATCATATAGTCCTTCTTCACTGGTCATGAATTCATTAAAGTTTCCCAGACACTGTTTTATTTATTAGGACCATCAACTCCAGATATGTTTTATTATTTTTGCAATAATTGATTCTATCAGTTCACTTCTATTCAAGAAACAGTGAACTCGAGTTAAAAGGAACCTCAGTATTTCTGAAGGTTTTCGTTAGATTTCCTTTAAAACTTTGCTACTCTTATAAGACACTGTCACACATTCACCTGTATTTCTGTGCCTTCAAATAGCTTTTTTTTTCTTCAAGATTTGAATCACAAAAGGCCAATTTTGCAGTCTACCATTGTCTGTAAATAGAATGTTACTTGTATTTATCTAACTGACTCTGGGTAATTTTGTTCTTTCTGGTTTCATTTGTATATCCAAAGGACATTTCTGTAAGAAAAAAAATAAGCCATGTCCAAATATCAACGGAGATGGTAGGTAGGGAATCTTAAGTAGTAAAACCCATCCTTCACCCAACCTTCTGATAATCTTTGGTGCATATCTGGTCCACACTGCTATCTCCAGATTCTTTTGTTCCACCTGCTTTATTTCCCAGCTGAATACTAATTTCATGTCAGGTGAGGAAATTGGATAAAACCTTCATGGTGTTGGGTGTGTGGAGAAATCCTTCACCACTCTAGTGTCCTGTATTTCAGACCAAAATTAACACTACTTAATGATTTATTTCCAGCATGCACTTGTGATTACTCTCTTATTTAACTGAAGATGTTTGTCCTACTCTGTTGTGACAAAATGCCTTACACCACATCATTTATGAATGACAGAAATGCACAGCTCAGGAGTCAGAGGTGGTAGACGCAAGGTCCAGGCTAGCAGGCACTGTCTGGTGAGGACTCTGTCCCTCCATCCCTCTGACCCGCTGTCCTTCCGTCCTCCATCCTTCCATCCTTGCTTTGCAGCGGGGCCCCAGCCACTGCTGCTCAGGTGGCAGGGAGAGAGGACACTGCTGAATTCTGTCTTCTTGCTTACAAAAGAGCACAAGGTCCAGACTCACACCTGCAGGCTTGTACAAGGGACTCAGACAAGAGGCTGAATCAGTCCTGAAAGCCCCTTTAATACTGCTGCATTGCGTGTCAGATTTCAACCAAAAGGTTGAAAGGCTCAAAATAGTCAGACCCTGGCACTGCTGTATTGCATTTGTGGTTTGAAGAGAAGGACGTTACTTGCTTACAGTTATTCCTTAAAATAGTTGATTCTTACCAAACTACTTGCAAAGAAGAACGTAGGACCAGTTATGTTGCAACATACTCTTCCAGGCGTTTCCTCTGTAGTTCACCACAAAAGCCTTCCTGCCTCCTTCCCTGCTTTGTCTCCCAGCTGTTTTCAGTCTTGAAGATGTGGTACACGGAATGTGAACATCTGTCTCACATCTCAGCTCTACAGAAGTCCTGCTGTGACAGTGGTGCAGTCCAGCGCAAGCCTGGGCGCCTGCTGGCCAACATCCAGGAGCTCCTCAGCGTGTCGGGCTGCGGAGATGCAGCGGTTCAGCTCCAGGGGTGGAGGGCACCGCCAGCCATGGCATCGCTGAAACCACACTGGGCAGCGGAGACACCAGAGCAGCTGCCCCACCCCGTGTCCTCAGGAGCCTGTGTGACAGCTGAGTCCTCCAGGCTGGGCGAAATCGCTCCGTCCTCCACACCGTGAAGAGATTGGTAAGAACCACTCTTGATAATGTATCGGGGGCAGTTTTCTAAAAGCTGGGAATCTTCTCTGCGTGGGGAAGAATAAAAGAAGCTATCAATTTTGTATCTTTAGACTTCTTAATTTTAATTTTCTCTATTTCTCTATTTTAAGAAATTTAAAAATGTCTTCCTTGAATGTGTTTTTGCCTTCATCACTGTGTCTGTGTGCTCCTAAGGGTCTTCCTTTTTCAAGTGTTCATTCTCTGTTTACTTCAGAGGACTAAGAAAAAAGGAAGCAAGAAACCCAGATCACCTGCCTGGAATCAGAGGAAGACCAAGAAGAACAGGAGAAAAACAGAAACACTCAGGAAGCAAGCTCCTTTCTGTGCACCTGCCTTTTCCTCCGAGAGTACTCCTTTTAAAACCAGAGCCTGGACCTGTGGCTGCAGCAGTAGCACCCTGGGGTGCTGCAGGGGTTCCAGGGTGCCCTGCTCTGTCTGAAAGGAGCCCCCCTGGGATTGAGATGATCAACTGTGAAATCCTGCTCCTTCTTTAGGTCTTATCTCAGTGGTTCCCTTTATGGGGTCTTTCCTGTGCCCTCCAGGCCAGCTAAGGGAAAGGACTTCATGCGTTTGCTAGGAACTTTCACTGTAATTCTTGTCACAAATTGTTATTTAGGATTCACTTGGTAGTCCTGCACATTTACTGCTCTTAGTTTACTACAGTATATTATGTTTTTCTTTTCTTTTCCTTTTTTTTCCTGTAATTGAATGCAAAGTCTTTAATAACAACTTCTCCCAATATAATTTTAACCAATTCTATCCACTATTGAAATACTTACAGACTGGAAAGAATATACAGCCCGTGCAGCCTTCTCATGCATGGAGCAGAGTCGCAGTCCTTTCCACCTTCCTGAGACCTTGCTTTCAGATGTGTGAATCCCACAAACTTCTACATAAACTGGATCTGTAACATTTCCCACCCAATTCTTCACTGGCTCTTGAATGGTGATAAGAAGATGGTCCAGCCTATGACTGAAACAAGGAAATCTGGGAGGATTTCTTGATGAAATTATATTCACAGGAATGAATGAATATCAGTATGTGTGATTGCTGATGAAAATATCTGAGAGTGGGAGAGAATGAAACACAGTGAGGGAAAAGTATTTGTTAGCTTTCTGCTGTTGTGACAAATGCCCGAGAAAAACATTAAAGGAGGAAAGATTTATTGAGCTCAGTTTCCCAGGATACTGTGTTTGAGCCAGGATGAGGCAGGCATAATGGAAGTGGAGAGAGAGAGAGACAGACAGGCAGAGAGACAGAGAAGAGACAGGATAGAGAGAGGAGAGAAACAGATAGAGACAGAAAGAGAGGGACAGAAAAAGAGAGACAGGAGAGGAGAGGAGAGAAGAGCAGAGGAGAGGAGAGGAGAGGAGAGGAGAGGAGAGGAGAGGAGAGGAGAGGAGGGGAACACAATTGTAGTCCCCAAGAGCCCAGGTTGCATCCCGGTCTCTTCAGCTAGATCTCACTCCAGGTTTCCATCACCTTCCATTCATACAGCTCAGGAAACCACAGAGAATAAAGCCTCACACCCAACCATCTTTCAAAGCACCACTGCTGAATACTGTTGCTTGAGGGGCAAAGGTCTCAGCACCATCCTTTTGAGAGGCTGGTTAGGACTCGAACCATACCAGAAGATGAGGTGCATTGCTGAGTTGAGTTCCAGTGTGAAAACAATTCTTGTGTGTGTTAAACTGTTTTCATATAGTTTCCCAGCACAGCCACACACACACACACACACACACACACACACACACACACACTGCCTTCCCTCTGTTTTTTCTCGGAAACAGAAGGGGTAGATTCAGGGGCCCAGGAGAATGGCAAGGTCACCATCAGCCGAGTGAGCTTGGGGAATGGCCCAAGGAAGGAAATGAGAAACAGCTCAGACTAACACATTGCTAGCATGTGATGAAACTTCTGGAACTCATTAGCAAGGTAATCAGGGAAAAGATGCTGTTCAAAGAGCATTTAAAGAAAAAGAGTTAACATAGTGATGCTGAAATGGCTTTCAAACTCAGAACTTGCTCTAGGATATCTGTCTTTCTATCTGTCTATCTATCTATCTATCTATCTATCTATCTATCTATCTATCTGTCTGTCTGTTTGTATGTCTGTCTGTCTTTCTATCTATCTATCTGTCTGTCTACCTATCTACTTATTGACTTCTAATCCAATAGACTGTGGCATGTGTTATGTTTTGGTACCAGTAACCAAATGCAGGAACTTGTGCTTGCCAGGCAGGCCCTTGTGCAACTGAGCTATATCCCCAGGCCCACATATGTGTTCTCACTGTTAAGAAATGTTAACACAGTTCTCTGAGCCAACCAAGTAATCAAATGAAACCAAGCCTACTAATTATAAAAATTTCAAGTCAGCTTACAAGAAACAACTCTTGGTAAGCAAAAAAAAAAAAAAAAAATAGATGGATCACAGAGTTTTAAAGAGCTAGAAAAACAGACACAGAAATGGATAGATATGTGGACAGAATGATGAATAGATGGATAGACCACATTATCATGCTTTGTTTCCACACTTAGATTGACTCAGTGTAATGGAAATGTAGACGAGATATTTTAGGTCCTCATAAATTTTTAGCAGGGCAACTCTTAGGGTACCTCATGGTACCTGACCATACTTCCAAGTCTGATTCCTTGTATCTCTCATGATAATGTGGATGCTGCATTGGAAATCTAACACAGGTAACTCTCTCCATGACAGGGAGCAGTGGCTAGAAGCTACCAATGATTTTGTGTAAACTGATTCTTGATCCAGATGTTCTTCTCAAACTGATTTGGTCCATTAGGAGTTTCAAGATAAAGCTTATACAGTCAGAGAAGTGAGAGAGGGAAGACAGGTGGGCACACAGCCCCCTGAGCACAGCAGAAAGCATTCCCTCCTCAGACCTGGTCCAGGGCAAACCACAGTACAAACACTAGAAGCTTTTAAATGCCCAGGCCTTCCAGCAAAAGTTAATATTACATAACTATATATACATCCTTATATATCTCCTTCTATTCATGTATTCACATATATTTCTATTGCCTCTTCAAGTTTTCTCTGTGGTTTCAATTAAACACATGAAATTTGTCTAACTTTAGCTGTCTGATAGCAGTAAATTACTGCTAAAACATGAGAACTACAACTACTTTTACTTTTTATTACACTGAATATTTTTGAAAAATGGATTTTGGTGATAAGAAAAAAAAAAAAAAAAACTGCAAGTAAACCAGCCACTGGGGCGAAGTGTGTTCAGTTTCTGCCCGTCACGGGTGCTCTGGAGTCAGGGCTCTCAGCCTGGTCTCTCTGTTATTTCTGTTTCCTCCCCAACAGTGGAGAGAGCCAAACCCACGCGTGAATACCATCCCCGCAAGCTCCTCCACTTGCCTGTTCACGTCCACATGTGGATGGGAGAATGAGCGAACCTGAGCAGGCCTTGTCCTGCCTGAGTCAGGTGAGGCTCAGCGATGACCACGCCTGCAGAAATGGCCAGGGTGATGCCACAGGAGAACCAGGAAGACACACATGGATTCTGTATATATTTGGGTGGAAGAAGCCACAGTATATCATAACAGTTTGAGATTTGAAGAGTGAGAAAAAGGTTGTGAATGGAGCTTACCTTCAGTGTCCTGGTCATGAACCTGGATGCAATCATGGTGCACAGGACTGGAAAGCCCTCAGTGGACGAGGTTGGGGTTATGGTGCTGGGCCCAGATGATGGCTTCCTTGGTGTGTTATGTGTGAAATGCACACGGATCCCCAAGGCGAGTTCCACACAAGCTCTAGTTCTTCACAGTGGGATCCCAGTGGGAGTCCTTGTTCATAGATGTGAATTCTGCAGTCAGAGAAAATGGAAAAGTTCCGGCTTAGGGAAGTCGGTGGCTCTCCACAATCTCATTGCAGAAATGACCTCAGTGTAAGGACGCAGGGGAATCAATGTAGATTAAGTATGTCGTTCTCAATTTCACATCCCTTCCTTAGGCTCTAACATTACCTTAAAAAATATGTGTGTAAGTGCTCAGTAGCCACACGTAATGTTTGGTAATTGCATAATCATATTCTACCCACATTTCCCAAATGACACCCATTTTCACAGTGAATAACTGTGACTATGAAGTGGGTTCAAGTTTGTCTTTTCTGTCATATATTGCTTCCTTCAAACTTGATTTTTAACTCAAGCCATATAGGGTTTCTTCTATGATTCTTATCACATTGGTGAGATGCACTGAGGGCTCTGCAGTAGAGGAGATAAGAATGCAGTTCATTCCACAGTAAATGCCAGTGGCTATGGCTGGAGAATCTGCATTCATACCCTTCTGGTGGTGACTGCATGAGCTTCTGAAGTTACAGCACAAGAAACCTGTACATCCAAACATTCGGAGGACATTAAGTATCTGGGAATGTTTCCTGTAAATTTCCAATATTATACCCTCCTTAGCTTCAGGATTGGCAGAGACTGGAAGTCCCCGGCTAGCAGCATGCGAGGTGAGACACACAGTGAAGGTAAATGCCTATGGAATGGCTTATGAACGCCCAAGGCAGTGTCGGCTCCTGACCTACAGTTTCTGTCTCCGTACAACGCCCAGTCAGGATCGAGCAGTCTGCAGGATTTCAACAAGCATGAGCTGCTTCAGAGAACTTTAGTTCCACAAAACCATAAGTATGCGATTATATTCCGGAGAGGTGAATCTATCGAGAAGTCTGTTCAAATGCTGAATCCGGTCAGAAACAGTGCAGTGGTGAATTTAGAACAAGAAGAGAATGTAAGAAAGCACCACAGACACGGCCTTGCAGACCGCGTAATGTTTAAACATGTCATTGGACTGCTTTCAAGGGAGAAGATAGAGAACCTAAGAGTGTTTTTAATAAAGCAAGACCAGCTCTGTACTCTGATTGGATCCACAAGGGATTAGAGGATTAAACAGCATGTAGAGTTGTGGCTCCCAAGGAAGAACTAAATAGCTCCCAGGACCTCAGCCCTGCCTGTCCTCCCATGGTGAGCTCCCATGCTGGCTACCAGATTCTGTCAGGGGACCTCGATGGCAGAGAGGTGCAGGCCCTGGGAACCAGTCCTGCTGCCCATGGTGACCCTCGGGGCCTCCGACCTGCAGGGAGGGTGTGGCCGGAACCAGGAGAGACCAAAGACACTGTGCACAGCCTGTGCTGGAGGAAAACACCCGCTGGCTGTGGGTTCTTTCAGTGCAGAGCAAGCGCCCTTGTTTCTCAAAAGAGCTGAGTGCTTGAAAATCGTCTTTGAGCAGAGTGTTTGAAATCATGCAAACTGGAGAGGCAAATAAGGCAAAACCATTCCCTGCGTGCAGAAAAATCAGCAGAAGCTTTCAAACATGCGAACTATGAAACCACGCAGCTGGGATTCTTTCAAAGCAGCGAGTCAGGTGATTACCCAAGCACGGAGGACCAGGCTGTGCTTCCTGCTCCATTTCTCTCAAAAGCTGCTGAAAATAATTGACAGGCAGCAAGCAAGATGTGGGGAAAGAGGTGAAAGGGGGCACTGCTATTCACACAGGAATTTGCTTCATTCAAGGAAGCTTCCGGCCTTGCTATCAGTCAAAGCTACAAGGAAGACCCTGTCTCTAATGTATGAGACCCTTTCCTGACACTTAGAGGGAGCACACCGAGGGGTGGGGGAAGGAAAAGCCAGGCTTTCAGCGCAGTACCCCTGGACCGCAGTAATCTGCATGCTTCTTTGCAAGAGAAATAAATTTCTACATTTCAAAACAGGGACTGTCTCTCTCTATCAG